GAGAAGGCAGAGGAACAGCAGGAGTGTGCGAAGAGCCGCTGCCTGGTGGTTGATGGGCTCAAAGGCTCGGAGCTGCCCAGGACCATGATTGAGAAGATGGGTGTGGCTTTCGACACTAATCTTCTTGGATATGAACAATGGCTCTCAGGCTACGGCCAACTTTGGCTTGGATGCGATATTGCAAACATGCCAGCGCAACTCTGCCCTGGACTGTGCGGTCGCTGTTGGGCTCCCAACCTGCCCAACCATTTTAACTGAGATCAGCTCCAAAATCCTTGGGTGGGCTTCGTCCAATGGGTGGCCTGCCTCACAGCTTGTTTGCCAAGCGAACTTCAAGGACATCCAGTGCCAGTTGTTCATCGTTCTCGGAGCTTCTGCAGGAGGCGCGGGATACATCTTTACTTTTGATTCTTTGACGTCGCGTCCAGCGATAAGCAGCAGAGATCAGCAGAGAAAGCATTAGAAAGCAATAGAAAGCACAGGAAACCTCAGGAAACACCAAGAACCTATCTTGCACACATGATTTCATATGAATTCCGTACTGGATAATTACATTTGACTTTCGCATGCTTTCACAGTTCACCCGCGAAAAAAATTAAAGTAGTTTAAACCATTTTTAACCAGGATCCGATTGTTCAAGGATTGCGGAACATGGGCATAGCAATGCCAGCGCATTGCATGCCCATGGCGTGCCATTTCACGGCCTTTTTGTTGCTGTTTCGATCGATTTCGTTGTGAGGCCCAGCAGACAATGAAGAGCCGCGTTGCAGCGTCTCGTGCCTTCAAGGCTGTCCTCTGTGATGCTGATGCCAGTGTGAAGGAGCTGAGAATTGTAAGTCATTCACTTGAATGCTGGTCGTGGTTTTGCAGACGCTGAAAGTTTAAAATATATTAAAATAGTTGCATCGTGCTCACACATGTTGAAAATCGTTAAAAAGCATCAATTACTTTACTTCGTGTGATCCCCACCATGACATTTATACATTTTGTTACTGGCAAATCTTCTGGCATTCTATCTGACACATCTTCTGGCATTCTATCTGACATATCTTCTGGCATTCTATCTGGCATTCTATCTGGCATATCTTCTGGCATATTATCTACTCAAATCTCCTGGCATTCTATCTGGCATACCTTCTGGCATTCTATCTGGCATATCTTCTAACATTCTATCTGGCATATCTCCTGGCACTCTATCTGGCGTATCTTATGGCATTTTATTTGGCATATCTTCTCGCATTCTATCTGACATTCTATCTGGCATATCTTCTGGCATTCTATCTGGCTTTTGAGGTCCAGCGGTGCGCACTGAGCTCGGAAGGCCCCAGGTTGAGGTCCAGCGGTGCGCACTGAGCTCGGCAGGTCCCAGGTTGAGGTCCAGCGGTGCGCACTGAGCTAGGAAGGTCCCAGGTTGAGGTCCAGCGGTGCGCACTGAGCTGGGAAGGTCCCAGGTTGAGGTCCAGCAGTGCGCACTGAGCTCCGAAGTTGGCGAAGAGTTTGGCCAAGAGTTGGCAAGGCAGCAGTGGACGTGGAAGTGGAGGCAGAGGTGGTAGAAGAGGAGGAGGACGCGGAGGAGGAGGAAGGAGGAAGGAGGAGGAGAAGGAGGAGGACGAGGAGGAGGAGGATGAGGAGAATAGCTCTGATAAAATCTAACAACCCTCACCTGGCAGGTGGGGAACAACAAAAAACTACTCACTGACACTTGTTTAACTTACCGACTTCATTCGCCGGGCAGGAGAAAGATGCTCCTCGTGGCTCCAATGGCCACTTGCTTTGGCCCAAGCCACGGACTGTCTACCACAAGCAGTGCTTGGATGCGTTGGGTGCCTGGCCCGGTCAGGTCAGCGATTCGCTGTTCATCCTGGACGTGGACCCCTTTTGCGCACAGGCTTTGGTCAAGGAGTACCAGGGCTATCACTCCATGGCCACGATTGCGCCATCTCCTCAGAAGGGACGGTGGCTCCAGTCGTTGGTCTTCGAGCCAGCAACGGAGGTGCCTTCAGCTGCCCTGGAGAAATTGGGGAACGGCATGACCCAGCTCAATCAGTCACTTGCGTGTAATGGATATGGATTGTATGGGTCATGAGGGATCGTGTGTTGGATTTTTTTTGGCTTTGTTTGGGTGTCAGTGCGGACTATGGAAAAGACTTGGTGGCTACACCAATTGATATCTCCAAGTTTTTTGTTCTAGTTGTTGTTTAGCGTTTGAATCTCCTTTCATCAAATATTGTATGGGTGCAATGGTTTCTGCATGCTTCAATATAGTTCATACATGTTCATACATTTTCCTTCCACACTGCAGTCCAAAACGGGCATTGAATATCATATATATATACACATGGGTATATCATGGTATTTCGACTAGAATGGTATGGATCATTGCAGACCATGGTAGATGTTGGTATAGATGTCGAAGCCAACTGATATCCAAACCCGAGGAAGGTTCAAAGCGTGCTGCATACTGTGCCGGAGAACCCGATGTTGTGTCCCACGGGCAAACATCCGCCCCGCATCCAAAACTTTCTGCTTGGTGCTGACCCAATCAACACAAACATAGCCCCTGGGCTACCAAAGGCCACGAATGATGAGGTGGTCTTGCCAGATGAATTGCATTTGGTGCAGCAGTCTCTTGCTGCGGGTCTTTTGCTCGTTGACAGCCAGTGGGCAGAAGGACCACCTTACCAGTTGAAAATGACTTGCTGGTGCCCCAATATGGGGATGATATGCCCAAATCTGTTTCACAGCACGGATTTCACCATTCCTGGGATGCCATATTTGCATTTGTGAGCCAAACTGCTCCAGACGTGCAAGCGAAATATATTTCAGAAATTCTTTCACGTACCCCCCCCTTAAATTTCAGTGGCCGAGGCCGTGGGTATTATATATAATACATATTTTTATATATTCATGTATACCATTGCATTTATTATACCAATGCTTCAAAAAATGACGGGTGCCACTTTGACTTGAGCACATGGAATGGCCCTTCAAGACAAGAAACATCTGCTGTCCCTGTATATATATATATATATGGTCCCGTGTCCCGTGTTCCCACCCCCCCTCCCCCCCCCATGGGATGGGGGGGGATGATGCCCCTGTGGTGGTAGTATGTATGTATGTATGCATGGATGTATGTATCTATGTATGTATGCATGTATGTATGTATATTTATATCTATACACATGTTACATGCATTTCTCCATGATAGTGTATGTGTACGTACACGCATATATACATACATACATACATACATACATACATACATACATACATACATACATACATACATACCTATATACCTACATACCTACCTACCTACCTACATACACACATACACACATACATACACACATACACACATACACACATACACACATACACACACACAGACATACCTACCTACCTACCTACCTACATACATACATACACACATACACACACAGACATACATACCTACCTACCTACCTACCTACATACCTACATACCCACATACACACCAGAATACATAACCTACCTACCTACCTACCTACATACCTCCATACCTATAACCTAACGTACTACGTACCGACGTACACACGTACACACGTACATACATACATACATCATACATACATCATACATACAATACATGCATACATATCATGCATACATACATACATCCTACAATACCTACATACATACATACCTACATACCTACATACCTACATACCTACATACCAACATAACCAACATACCGAACATACCTGCAATACATCCATCCATATCCATTCATCCATACATACATACATCCAACATACATACATACATCCATCCATCCATACATACATCATACATACCATACATACATACATACATACATACATACATACATACATACATACATACATACATACATACATACATACATACATACATACATACATACATACATACATACCAACATACCAACATACAACATACCACATACCACCACATCCATACCAACATACCAACATACCACCAACATACCAACATACCACCACCACAGGCCACAGGGGGGGGGGACCAGAAGAACCATACCACCACCACAGGCCACAGGGGGGGGGACCAGAAGAACCAGACGATACTGTCCACCCATACCCATTGGTGGGGGGGGGAGGGGGGCTGGCCAACGCTGCACCATATATATACCTATATGCGGCGGCGAGTAGAATCCTGTTGGAACCTCCTAGCCTCGTCCCGGTCACGGTATGTGAATGTTTATTTCAGTCCCGCAGTCCCGGGCGGTTTCTTGCAGCCGCTTGCAGCCCTTAATCCCTTGCAGCGCCTTACACTGCGTTGCAGCATCTAGCAGTCCCAGTTCACAAAATTTCACAAGTATATTATATAGTATATACAGCTGTTTCTATGTGTACTGATTTTGACATGTTGATGCACCTACATCTCCACAATGCAAAACCACGTAAATATGATTTTTGGCATCGCATGGAAAGTATATAGAGTAGGCTCAAAATGGTTCAAATGTTGCATCTTGCCTCGCCGGGCACCTGCTGTCCTGGAGGTGCCACTGGCGCGGGATGTGCCGGATTTGCGCCCATCTGCATAGTGCCATCGCCCATCCAGGGCGCTGCTCCTGCATGCATACCTGCCATGCAACCTGCCAAAGATCGACAACACGCCACTTCAAATTGCGCTTTGGGCCAAAAGAGCAGAGAGTATGAAGCAATCAGAAACCCCTCTGCACAAACATAGTAAACTTGGCACATTAAAACGCAATCATCTTTTCACCCATCACTTCACCAGCAACAAGATCAATCCAAATTCTTTCAGCTGAATAACAACCACACTACAAAAATTGCAAGCAATTGAGTTCAACGACGCGGAGATGCACAGAGCATCTTTGGAAGTGATGCTCTCAGTCATCCCGGGAGACCAAGTCTTGCAGGATATAAAAGAGCTTGCAGCATAAAGAAGCAGCAGCTCTTGAAGCCCCCGGCAAAACTGTAAAAAGTCCGCGTTACCAGCTTTACTGCTCTTTGGCCGTCCAACTTGTCCCAAGGCCTCAAAGGCCTCCAACAACACTCACATCTTCATATTGTACAAATAAAAGACTCAGTAACATGTAAATTGCTTGATCATTTTTTTCAACTGCACGGTATTCGATGCAGTCCTCCTCAGCTGCCACCAGCATGTCAGAGACACAAGGCAACACCTCAGTAGTAGGATACACCTGCGTATGAGCTTGAAAAGAACTGGCCGCAGCACGTTTGAGCCACAGTATCCTTGCATCAGCCCTGCCTGACCAATGCGCGGAGCTCGCCGAAATTCTTCACTTTCACTTGGCACCTCCAGTACAAGCTCCAATCCCAAAATAGAAGTCTTTTAGCACTGAATACGCTGGTTTTGCCCGAGCAAACCTAAGACTTCTTAAACTCTTAAATTGCTGATTCAAGCTATCCAGGGCCTCTCAAATGCTGCGGCTTTTGCGGAAGGATATTATATAAGCGTCTATTTGAAGGGATTTATCGGCCTAAACAGTAGCCAAAAAATGATGGATCTATCGCTATTTATGTTCATCTGGACGCATCATCATTTGTGGGCCCAAAATGTGAATTCCCCGCATCTATTTGGCCTGAAAAAAAGCATTGACGATGGTCACAAGAAATTCTGTGCTTTCAGGCTTTTTTAGAAATGAAATGGAGATGACTCAGATGACCTTTTGTTGGACACCAAAAGGTATGCACCAGGTCTAGAACAGCGACTGTGTCCTTGCACTCGCACCATGTTTCGAAGTCACTCTCTAATGCAGCTGGCATGAGGTGTCTGTGAGGGCGGCCCCCTCACCTTCTATCACCCAACACGTTCTATCACCCTGCTAACACAATATGTTGTTTTTGTTGAACACTCACTTGAACAAGTCACTGTGTGACCAAACGCTACTCAGCCATCAAGCCAAAATGCCTGCTATGTATCTATCTTCATTCCTAATTACCTTGACAACAGCAGCCTAGGGTAGCTTGTGAGTCTTGCCTGGCTCCACCCACACGAAACCTCGGAAGTTCAAACTCAGAAGAGTCAAAAGCTCCAAGCTTTCCTCTCAGCCGAGGCTCAAACAACAAAATTGCTAACGGATCTGACGGTCAAGTCTCAAAAGCCTTAAAAGCCCTAGGCAGCCCACCAAGCAGAAGAACTGCGCTAGCAAAAGCCGTCTTGCCTGCTTTGAAATTCAGCAAAATACAATCATGCTTCCGAATTTTCTCTACGGCCCTCTGGCGCAACTGCATGAAAACATGAATGGAGTGAGAGCATTTATGCAAGCTGAACAGGTAGCATTGAGTATCCTATAGTGACGCATACCATGTAGGTGTTCTTGGTGATGGGGCGCTACCGTCATGATCTTTCCTGATGGATGGAAACGAAACAACGAAAATTGTTTGAATGGGCTGGCCTTCACCAACATGCAGGGCGTCGCGTGGAATAGAAAGGTTAAGATTCAATGGATTCAACAGCCAGAGATGCCAATTTTTTATGGGTCTGAGTGCTGTTTGTTTTACATGTTTCTTGCTATTGTAATTGCAACTTAGAACTGCAGATTGGCGAATCGATGATTAGACATGCTTGTTCTTCAACCTTAGCGCCCAAGTCGCAAGAAAATGGGAAGACATTTCATAAATTTTCATAACAGTTTTTCATGAGCCAGCCCGACTAGTCCTGCCATTTTTCAGGTAGATCTTGATGAGAGTCACCTTGGAGCATGCGACGACAAGACTTTGCATCACCCCAAGAGACTCAAGTGACTCTTGGGGCTCACTGATTCGTCCCTGATTCTGCTTGCCTTTCTTCGGCCAACACGGTGGTCTCAAGGGTGGCGATGTTGGTGGTAACCTGCTTTCATGACTCATCCAGTCCTCTCATTTATGAGAGTGGCAGTGTGCCTTTTGGATAGACTCTCAGCCTCAGGCAAAGTCTTGAACTGTCCTGCAGGAAGTTGAAACGGCAACTTGACCTCTAAGTCCTGAGTCAGGCTGAGCCACGTGCATGTGGTTCATCATGCAATGTGGTCTCAGAAATTCCCTTGTGGACCTAGGCGGATGGCAGAGCTCACAGCAGCTCATTCACACACCACCAAGTCTCCTTGGGACCAACTCCTTGAGCAAGTGACCATTTGCCTGCCTGCAAGGGTCTGCAAGAGTCTGCGAGGGTCTGAGAGAGTCTGCGAAAGTCTAAAGGGACAGGATCGCAAGAGGGCACCCAGAGACCAGTTCACAATAGTTCACAGGTCGACTAGCAATTCCAACAGCCCATGAAGTTTGCTCCCCTCTGCAAGACTAAGAAACCCGGGACAGGATGATGCAAATTCCGGGCAAATTCCGTGCCTTGCGGATGTATGCTGGAGGGATTGCATCTTCGAAGTAGACAACCTGATTATCGATGTGGCGGGGAGTTTCTGGATGTTTGCCTTCACAAAACCAAATCGATGCCAGGCAATTGCAATTTGAACATGAAATCATTCAGTGTCATTTCACTCTGCTCCGCAAAATCTCGCTACGAACACCCCCTCCAAAGTTCTGCCCAGGCTCAATCGTGATTCGGATTTCCCATCTTTTAAAAAAATATCGAAGTCAAGATGTGCTGGGACTTTTACATTTTGAATGGCGTACACGTCCGTTAAAGCGACTTGCAGTAAATGTTTGCTTGCAGTGTCAACACTTCCAAGATCAAGGCCATATGTGCACACAAAGGAATGGCTGTTTCAGCGCTAGTCCTCAGCTCAAAGCACAATGCGACATCGCGAAGAATGCGAAGAAACAAGTTCCACGTTCGCAAGTGACACCAATGATGTAGTGTTTGCAGACCCGTTTGATTCACCTGTGCGTGGCCAGTGCTTTGCCATGCGCTACCTGCAATTTGCCGGTTTAAATTCCCACCAGGTTGCCTGTTGAATTGTATGTTTCTATTTATTCATTCATCTATCCAATCGGTGGGTCCGTCGTCCGTCTGTCTGTCTAGGCTGCGTGTCACTGATGATTTTTGTGCTTTTCCATCTGTTTTTTCTGCGCATTTCTCTTTGCGCGCGCGCCTCGACATCTGAGGACAATAGCCAACTGTGCCGCATAACTGCGTGTAACAAATCCGCCCGCACCTAACGTGTCGAGGCGTGAGGTAGTTTAGGAGCGGAGCCGAGCGAATCAACAATCGTCTGCTCAACTGGTACTGCTTTAGCTGGGGGGAAACATTTTCGAACCGAACTGACCGCCAAAAAACGCACGAGACTGTAGTAATCTACCCGCTTTGCATATCGGCACAACTTCGCCTGAATTCCCACATGTCCGCAACTTGGACTCAGTTTGGGGGCAATTTTGGCCAACAAGGGCCCAATTAGTTGGACCTGTTTGGGAACAATTTCGGCCCAAGTTGAGCTCCACATGGGCTCAACATGGCGGACATGGCCGGCCCAATAGAAAATCGTCAAAAAAACGTTTTCATTGGTATTTTCCGCGTTTTTTGGCATCGACGAAGCTGCGCGTTGGAGAGCACATCTTAACCACGACGAAAGCATGGATCTCAAACCACCACAGTATTGGAGTCTACCACGACAAAGTATTGGAGTCTGCCACGACGTTTGGCTGTACAATGCCCGACTACGTATATACATTTATAATTTTGTTTTCTTCCAGGAGCTTCATGGTGTGCCGCAGTCATCAGGTAAGATATTATGGGACCCTCGAAGCCTTGGAGGCCTGCGCTCTATCTTCCATCTGGACGCAGGGTTGATGGAGCTGAATTTATCGTGCCCAAATCACGGGTTTCTGCGTGTACATATAATGTTGACCTACGATTTATAAACTAACCCTGAATAAAGCTAAAAAAACTCCCAAACTAAATAATAAACTATCCCTAAATAAAGCTAATTTGTTTTGGCCCTAAACCCAGATTTGCCCAGATGGGGCTGAAAAAAATTGCCCATGCTTTATTTGAGGTGGCTTTCATGTACTATAAAATTCATATTGCCAGCTCATTAGATCTTACCTTGATAACTTCAAAATTTCCAAAATAATGGTTGCTCTTTTCTATTCAAAACCTTTATTCAAAATTATCCAAAATCAATCCCAAATCAACTCGTCAAGGGTACCCCCCATGAGGTGCCTTAGCACTAATTAGAGTTTGACCCTGAATAAAGCTAAATGTTTTTGGCCCTAAACCCAGATTTGTCCAGATGGGGCTGAAAAAATTGTCCATGCTTTATTTGAGGTGGCTTTCATGTACTATATAATTCATATTGCCAACTCATTAGATCTTACCTTGATAACTTCAAATTTTCAAAAATAATGGTTGCTCTTTTCTATTCAAAACCTTTATTCAAATTTATCCAAAATCAATCCCAAATCAACTCATCAAGGGTACCCCCCATGAGGTGCTTTAGCACTAATTAGATTTTGACCCTGAATAAAGCTACTGAGCTTCATCTTCCCGCTGATCAAGAAATGAATGCTCAATCAATACTAAACCCATGAAATGAATACTAATTCCATGACATGAATACTAAATCAATACTAAATCCATGAAGTGAATACTAAATCAATACTAAATCCATGAAATGAATACTAAACCAATACTAAATCAATACTAAATCCATGACATGAATACTAAACCAATTCTAAATCAATACTGAATCCATGAAATGAATACTAAATCAATACTAATTCCATGATATGAATACTAAATCAATACTAAATACATGAAATGAATACTAAATCAGTACTAAATCCATGAAATGAGTACTAAATCAATACTAAAACAATTGTTGGATTCCTTATTTTTTTGGAAATTGCATTTTATACTATCGTTTTAAATTGTGGTAATGGAAAACCAATACATACAAACAAGTTTGATGGTGGCTTTAAGTTTATTTAGGGGAAAGAAGAGGGGGGGGCCACGTTTATAAATCAGAGGTGGACATTATATGCATGTTATATCATTCTAGTTTACATTGTCTACATACTTTAGCAATCTAAAACAAAAACAGAAAATAGAATAACATAACATAACATAACGCGCGTATTTATGAACAGCGCAGCTGTGTCAAGTTTGAAAGGCATCTTGGGAAACTGAGCGGTTAAGAACCCGATTGCGATATAGAGTGTGTGTATATATTATATATATATATCATACTCGAAAGAAATTTAGAAGTCAAACTTCCGACAATATGGACTGATGAAAAGCAGAGATGGGAAGAGTCAGAGAAGAGAAGAGAAGAGAAGAGAAGAGAAGAAGACAGAAGATCAAAGAAGAGAAAGAGTGAGAAGAAAGAAGATTTAGGCGCGCGAAAAGGTAGGAAAGTCGCGAAACACTATGTTTTCCAATGATTTTAGGCTCCGGAGGGTCGAAAAGTAGGCTCGCTAAAGCGGCGGGCGCGGAGCCATCTGGCCAGATGAGAGATGGAAAGTTGCACGCCGTTGTGGCACGACACATTTGCAAGCGAAAAAGCTAGAAACACCTCGCGTTCGGAACACTTTTGGAAGTTGAGATGTCGAAAAAGTGCACTCTGTTGCGGCGCGAAGCACATTTCGAAGTCAAAATGTGCAAAACACACCATGCTCGGACCACTTTTCGAAGTTGCGATGTCGAAAAAATGCACGCTGTTGCGGCGCAAAGCACATTTCGAAGTCAAAAGTGTAAAAAACTCACAAGTTCAGACCACTTTTGGAAGTTGAAATGTCAAAAAAGTGCACGCCTGGCGGGAAGCACATTTCCAAGTCAAAATGTACAAAGCACTTCAGCTTCGGAACACTTTTAAAAGTTGCGATGTCGAAAAAGTGCACGCCGTTGTGGCGGGAAGCACACTTCCAAGTCAAAATGTTTAAAACACCACATGCTCGGACCACTTTTGAAGGTTCAGATGTGGTTTTGCGTGGCAGGCACAAGGGATTGTGCACCTTGTCAAAAGTGAGCAAAATGTGGGGGGTTTTGGGGCAGTTTCAAAAACAATGGCCGGCGTGGGACATGTGAAGAGGATCTGCAAAGATGTACTTTCTGTGGCAGGCGCAGTACAAGAGACATGTTGATCAGAGATGATCAGAGCTGTTAGGAGGTCCGGGCGCTGATTTCCTGAGAGGGGTTGCATTTTTCAGTTTTGGGAAGATGATTTTGCGTGACGGGTGCAGCACTTCGTATGACCTGGCATCACTTTTTCCTGTGCGGCGCAGTACTTTCGACAGATGGACTGGAAAAATCGCAAAATGCATTGGTACGAGGCCGTCAGCTCTGCACTCAACTTTCAATTTTTGAAGGAAGTCTCGCAGAATTACTTCGTTTTTGATGTTGTCAGCTTAAAGAATTGAGGAAGTCTCGCAGACTTGCTTCGTTTTTGATGTTGTCAAGTGCAAAAATGAAGGAAGTCTCGCTGACTTGCTGCGTTTTTGATGTTGTCAAGTGCAAAAATGAAGGAAGTCTCGCTGACTTGCTGCGTTTTTGACGTTGTCAAGTTTAAAAACTGAGGCAGTCTCGCAGAATAGCTTCGTTTTGAAGCTTGCAGGCAGGCAGGCAGGCAGGCAGGCAGGCAGGCAGGCAGGCAGGCAGGCAGAGAGAGAGAGAGAGAGAGATATAGATAGATAGATAGATAGATAGATAGATAGATAGAAAGACAGAAAGAAAGACAGAAAGACAGAAAGACAGAAAGACAGAAAGACAGACAGACAGACAGACAGATAGATAGATAGATAGATAGACAATTACAACTACAACTACCACTACACTACACTACACTACTGCTACAGCTACAAATACAAATATACTACGCTACATGACACTACACTAATTACACTACCCTACACTAATTACATCTAATTACACTACACCGCACGAATTACACTAACAACTACAACAACAACAACTACTACAACAACAACTACTACTACTACTACCACCACCACCACAACTACAACTACAATTACAACTACACTACACTACACTAATTACACTGCAGCACACTACAACTACCAGTAGTACCGCACAAGGCGGTGGCGGAAGTTTCAAAAATAGGATACCTATGAGGGGTTGGTTGCTGTGAATCATGGATGGCAGAGCGAATCCACTGATGGACCGAAAGGTGGTTGAGGTCTCCTCTCTTTCCCTCTCTTTCTCCCTCTTTCTCTGACTACCTACCTACCTACCTACCTATCTATCTATCTACCTATCTATCTATCTTTCTGTCTATCTATCTATCTATCTACCTTTCTATCTACCTATCTATCTATCTATCTATCTATCTATCTATCTATCTATCTCCCTGTCTATCTATCTATCTATCTATCTATCTGTCTGTCTATCTATCTATCTATCTATCTATCTCTGTCTGCAAGCTTGAAAACGAAGCTATTCTGCGAGACTGCCTCAGTTTTTACACTTGACAACATCAAAAACGCAGCAAGTCAGCGAGACTTCCTCCATTTTTGCACTTGACAACATCAAAAACGAAGCAAGTCTGCGAGACTTCCTCAATTCTTTAAGCTGACAACATCAAAAACGAAGTAATTCTGCGAGACTTCCTTCAAAAATGGAAAGTTGAGTGCAGAGCTGACGGCCTCGTACCGATGCATTTTGCGATTTTTCCAGTCCATCTGTCTAAACTACTGCGCCTGCCACGAAAAAGTGATACCGGGTCATACGAAATGCTGCACCTGTCACTCAAAATCATCTCAGCAAACCTGAAGATCTGAGACTCCAAACTGTACCCCCTCTCAGGAAAGCAGCGCCCGACCTCCTAACAACTCTGATGAACATGTCTCTTGTACCGCGCACGCCACGGAAAATGCATCTTTGCAGATCCTCTTCAAATGTCCCACGCCTGCCATCGTTTTTGGAAATGCCACAAAACCTTCACGTTTTGCTCACTATTGACAAGGTCCACAATCCCGTGCCCCTGCCACGCGAAACGACATCTGAACGTCCAAAAGTGGTCCGAACCCCTTGTGTTTTTAACATGTTGACTTCGACATGTGCTTCCCGCCACAACGGCGTGCATTTTTTCGACATCGCAACTTTTAAAAGTGCTCCGAAGCTGAAGTGCTTTGTGCATTTTGACTTGGACATGTGCTTCGCGCCACAACGGCGTGCATTTTTTCGGCATCGCAACTTCCAAAAGTGGTCCGAACATGGTGTGCTTTGTGCATTTTGACTTGAAAAAGTGCTTTGCGCCACAGCGGCGTGCACTTTTTCGACATCGCAACTTCCAAAAGTGGTCCGAGCATGGTGTGCTTTGTACATTTTGACTTCGAAACGTGCTTCGCGCCGCAACAGCGTGCACTTTTTCGACATCTCAACTTCCAAAAGTGTTCCGAACGCGAGGTGTTTCTAGCTTTTTCACTTGCAAATGTGCGTTGCGCCACAACGGCGTGCAACTTTCCATCTCTCATCTGGCCAGATGGCTCCGCGCCCGCCGCTTTAGCGAGCCTACTTTTCGACCCTCCGGAGCCTAAAATCATTGGAAAACACAGTGTTTCGCGACTTTCCTACCTTTTCGCGCGCCGAAATCTTCTTTCTTCTCACTCTTTCTCTTTTTTGATCTTCTTTCTTCTTCTCTTCTCTTTGCTGACTCTTCCCATTTCTGCTTTTCATCTGTCCATATTGTCGGAAGTTTGACGTCTAAACTTCCTTCGACAAGTACAACTACAACTACAACCGCACTACATTACACAATACTACACTACACTGATTACATTGCATTACACTACAACTACAGTTGCAGCTGCAACTGCAACTACAACTACCACTACATTACATTACTCTACGCTACACTACACTACACATACTACACTACACTAATTACACTACACTACACTAATTACACTGCACTACACTACAACTACAACTACACTACCTTACACTAGACTACACTACACTATACCACATTACACTACACAACACTACACTACATTACGCTACACTACACTACACTAATTACACCACACCACGACTACAACTGCATCTGCACTTGCCAATGTATTAAATACACTACAGTACAGCTACTACGCTACACTACAACTACAGCTACAACTGCAACTACAACTGCACTACACCACACTACATCCAGCAGTTGCGGTAAGGTGACCACTGCAACCATTGCAACCATTCCAAAAAACACAACTCCAACCACCTGTCGGTCCATCAGTGGATTCGCTCTGCCATCCGTGATTCACAACAACCAACCCCTCATAGGTTTTCTATTTTTGAAACTTCCGCCACCGCCTTGTGCGGTACTACTGGTACGATATTGTTCGTGATGCATCATGGCGTCTTGTCGCGGTGTTTGATCCCTTGTCGTGGTATGCGTTTCCTTGTTGTGGTGTGACCTGACCGTTTGCGCGTTGAGCAAGTTTCCCTATGTTGCGTCTGCGTTAGGCCCAACTTGGTGCGAAGCTGCCACCAGCTCCAAAACACATGGAAGTGTATGTGGTGGGAATAAGCGTGACAGGCAAAACATGCAGAAAACGCAGATACCATGATAGTCGAAAACCGCGTTACCATTTGGTTCGGCCTGATGCTTTCTTGGAAGGATCGGTTTAAGACCGCGGGATCAGTTGCTCTCTCACACTGGAAATGAATAAGATGAGGCAACTGGACCATCTTCATCGAGAGCAACACCAATCAAAACAGTGCCAACACGAGGAAGCAGCCAACAAATGCGCAGAAAAGCCACAAACCACAAAGCGGCCACTCAGTCAAACCCCGCGACATCTCGAAGCTCATGAAGGGCCTCCTAGGTGGCGAAGGCCCGCCCTGGCATTCGCCCGATGGAGGACAATGCCAGCCACTGGCACAAGCTTCGACAACCAGAGCAAGCCCCCACTTGGCACTTCCTGACCTCATAATCCATGGTGGCCCTGGACCCATCAGCAACTGAAGCTGCAAGGTGGCCCTGCCGCAGGCCGGAAGCCACGGCCAGATCAAACGCCACGGGCCCACGTAGGTTCCAGCGCGGGACCCATATGTCTGCCAGGCGACGCCCGCCATCTTCCACACCACCTTGGAGTTCTGGCCGTGGGGGGCGCAAGTTTGCTTTTTCAATTTCAGGTTGCAATCCCGCGGCCTTAGCTCGGGCAGCCAGCAAGTTGCAGAGCTCATGGTGCCGCGAAACACAATCACCCACACAAGGGCAAACTCTGGCGTGATCCCCAAACTTATCAGCTGTCCCATCACAAAGAGGGCAAGCGATGTCACCCCCGGCAACAGGGAGCCGAAGGCGCATCCGCACCATTGTGTGAAAAAAGAGCAGGCGCCACATGAAGCGCCAGAGTTAGAGTTGGGAATAGAATGTGGCCACGCCCTGGCCGCAGGCTGCTGCAAAAGTTGTAAGTGAGCCCGGAAACCAGCTGGGGACCTGGCCCAAGTGCCTGTGACAGCTTCGAAGATGGCACTGGGGTCAGGAAGCGTCAGGAAGCGGCGAGCAGCAGGCAGCTGTTGATTGACCAAAGACCAAAAAAACAGCTCCAAGTTGCGTCACTTCGGGCCTGACGTGGACCTACATGTGCAGAGCCTGGCTTCAACTTGGGGTCCAATGTGACCGGCAGCGCGGGCCCAACAACTTCGGCGCAGAAGCCCCCACACACACACACACCAAAAAAAAAGTTGCGCATCTTAAACCCAACTTGCGTCCAAACGTGCGCAAGTTCCCCTTGAGCCCCAGTTGCACCCAAGCCTGGCCCACGTTGGAGCCGGCCTGACTTAAGGCCAAGGACGGCCAAGTTTCAGCCCAGCTGGCTTCGGTTGGGCCAAGTAGGCCCGTGCTCTTCACCCCGCATCCCTACCTACCATAATCCTCGTCTTCTAAAAGTCGTCCCTGACCTGCGCAATTTGCATCTAATCTGGGCGCGGGCAGTACTCGACGCGGAGCGACTCGAATATAATTCAACACTCAGCCCATCATTCAAAGGCGTGGGTAGTTCAATGGGCAGCAAGTATACACGAATGATAAGTTACCAAGAGGGCCAGGTGGTCAGCGGGCCACGCATGTTTCCAGCTTGCGCTCGTCGCTCGTGTGCAGTGCAATCAGACCGCCATGAGAGGAAACAAAACAAATTTCGTTTGGTCACGGGCTAAGCAGTTGCATTCCAGTCTTGCAGATTTCTGGCCTATGACGTAATAATGTAACGCGAAGCAACCCTGTTGCACAATTTATTATTACACTACTACAAGCGTTGCCACTGAATGACCTTTGCAACCGTGAGATAGCGGGGTCGGAGGCCCGCATGCTAATGATGATGAAGCGGTTGTTTTCCTAAATGGCCCGAATTTCACTTGGAATGAAGTTCCTCCGGTTCCTCCATAAATATCAATGGAAAACCTAGTGGCTAGAGCTGAAACACTTGCATCTACACAAAATGCACCGCTGCGATATCACTCATCTCTCTTTCTTTGAGCGCATCTGGATGGTTCCTATGTTACGATACTTTCACATTTCAATTGCCCATTTGTGTGCCTGTCATCAAGCCAGTCTGTGAAGAACTTGTCCTCGAGGATTTCGATACAAGTACTACCTCGCATCGGCACAAACAAGCTGTACCGGCAAAAGTGACTGTACTGTTCTGGCAGGCAGGAGATATGGTATTTGTGGGCTTTTGTTACATGCAGTGTCTAGGCATTACTTTATTCTGGCTAGGGTACAATGCCTCTGTGCCCCGACGTATATAAAATAATCATCCCCATCAGCTTCACCATCGTCGTCGTCATCATCCAACGTCATCATCATCATCATCATCATCATCTCATCAGAATTTCGAAGGAAGTCCCAGCGCATTCCAAGGTAGTCAAAGGTTAGGGCCCCAGCAAGGAAGAAGTGTGAATCGCGCAGAACTTGGCCGTAGTTCATTGGCCTTGAATGGGAAAAAAAGGTCTGGGCCAATGAACTTGAAATCACAAGAACGGTTCCGGTCCTGAAGTGAGCACGTTCGACGCTGGATGTCCTGATCCGGTCGTCTGATTCTAAGTATTCAAAGTCTGTTATTTGCAAGCTTCATCAGTGCCTCTAGTAACTCTCGCTCAGCGGCATGAACCTTATTAGCCCAAAGCCATCCACAAGTTCGCCCTCCGACCTAAACAAGCCAAGCATTCCATTCCATTCCATTCCATTCCATTTCCATTCCATTCATTCATTCGTTCATTCATTCATTCATTTCATTCATTTCATTCATTCATTCATTCAT